ATTAGTTTATGAAATACTAGAGGCCTGGTGCACGGGATTCATGCACTGGTTGGGGGCGTGGCCAGCGGGGATTGGCCCATTGTGGGAGCGCCACTCATCCCAGTCAGCCGAGCAGCTGTGGACCTGCCCTCTGACTGGCTGATCCCACTGTGAGAGCAGCTGCTCATCCATCAGCTGAGCAGCTGCTTTTGCTGTGGGAGCGCCACTCCTCCTGGTCAGCCGAGCGGCTGCAGCAGGAGGAGCCGCTCATCCTGGTCAGCTGAGTGGCGCTCCCATTGTGGTCAGTGTGCGTCATAGCAACTGGTCAAGTGATCGTTCTGGTCGTTCCGCCATTTAGTCACTGAGCTTTTATTATATAGGATTTAGTATCTAGGAGCAGAGTTGTTAGCACTTATAAGTGACCTTAAAGCATCTCTGAATTATATATTGGAGACTGCTTTTGAGAGATACTTTGAAATTAAGATACCAGATATTTAAAATTCTGTGTGTACTAACTTCAGCCTTATTTTAATTTTGAATTTGTGTTTTTGAGAACTATTAGATGATTGTATGTATTTTGACTCAAGTTCACTTTGGATCTCTATTTTAAAAATGCAGTTAATGATCTAATAGCTTTCACACTTACATTGTTAATTTACACTGTGGCTGTCCTTTATGAGATTTACTTATAGTGGGCATGAATATTGTTAATAATGTATGATTCTGAATAATAATTGGAGACAAAATCTTGTGTCAAAATTATCATGCAGTTTTTGTTGAGGTCCGCAGATTGTAATTGTAATGAGACTGAGAAGTTTGAGTTGACTATTCTGCTATTGTGGAAAAAAGTGTAGTTATCAGGAATGATTTCATATTGATTCAGGAAAGCAGCAACATTACTGAATCATAGGTTTTTCTCAAACATTTCTCATCCAGGCCAGTTATTTTTAGTTATCTATAAGGCCTACTGAGTTATATAGAACAGTATATACGTATCATGTGAGTTTGTCTCAGAATAAACTTTGGGCATGGATAGTAATATAGCTTTTAACTCGTGTTTAAAATGAGATAAGATTGTCCCCTTGTTTGATGACCTTTTTTCCTATTGCACAGAGTTGAATGACAGTTGTTTTTTTGTATGAATGACATTTATTTCTCTATGAAATCCTGTTAACTGGTTCTTATAAGGAGGATTTATTCAGTTTTGAAGTTGGGAATATTTTTATTTATTCTTAAAGCAGGAATATTTAAATCTTGGTTCATAGCAAAAGTTGCAAATTTGAGTAAATTCAAAAGTTATAGGATCCCCTTTGAAAGAAATTACTATAAATGTTAATTCATCCATTCCCCTGAATGATGAATGTATTTCTTTTTCCTTTTCAAATCATGAAACATGAGAGTATGGCATTTTAGAATCTTGAAGCTTTCTCAGACTTCTTGGAACATAAATCTTTAATTCAATAAAGTGACTCTGGCTGGTGTGGCTCAGCAATTGAGCGTTGACCCAGAAACCAAGAGGTCACTTGTTTGATTCCCAGTCAGGGCACATGCCTGGGTTGTGGGCTTGATCCCCAGTAGCGGGTGTGCAGGAGGCATCTGATGGATGATGTTTCTGTCTCCCTATTCCTCTGCCTCCTCTTTCTCTAACAATCAATAAGAACATATTTTTTTAAAAATAAATGAACTTTGCATTTTGTAAATATATCTTTTATTTGATGAGAGCAAGGCTTCACAAACTCAGGAAAGGAAACTTCTCTCTTTTTTTTGGTCAACATGCTTTATAATTTGCAGGGTTTTTCACATAATATCTTGTTACCTTTTTTTTTTTTGGCCATTAATGTCAAATTTATCTGCCCTCTCTATAATTCTTGACTTCGATTTAATTCTCTCTCCTCCCCCCCTTTTTTTACCTTACCACTTTAAATTTC